TTGGATTGAAGTTGATTTCATTACATAGTTAACTTTTGGTCTTGATGTTTGCATCTATTTTCTGCTAAGTGCTGTATAATCCCCTATTCCTACCCATATTAAATGAGCATAAAGACAGTCATGTGGCAGGTTTAGAGTTTCATTAAAAACATTTGTTATTCTGATGCATTGTGCTGATTTATCCTGTGTGCTTAAAAATGGGATCTAGAAATAATTCACTAAGATATGTAGAATTTTATATTATATCTCTTTATGTTTAACCTTTAGAGCTTAATATCACTTAGTGTTTAGTATAATCGACCTGCTTTTGTTGAAACTCGCGTATAAAGGAAGAGGCGGACTCTGGTGGTTCCTCTAACTCTCCTCCAGTGAAACGGTTCAGTCAGTCAGAGACATGAAGGAAGCAGCTGCTCAGCGTCTGATCTGTAAGTACAGAAATAATGTTTAATAACTGATATGAAGATGTAGATTCTGTAAATTCAGTCAGAATATTAAAATCAGTTTCTTTATATTTCATATAAATATGATCCATTAACAGTGAGATGATGTCATTACAGACTCAGACTGACAGCAGAAAAACATTTAAACAAGTAGATTATGAAACAAAAACAGAAAATTATAAGAAAATGCATTGATTGATAACAAAAGGAAACTACCAGGACCACATAATATTGGATTCAGTTAGATTTAATATTTCCAAATAAAGGACAGAAAATTAAATGATCAAGAAAAAATATCTGTAAATTTAAATATTTGCCCAAGAAGTTTTGAAATACTTTAAATGTCAACTTTACAAATTAATCGCATTTATGTAGAGAATCTGATGTTGGTTAATACTTTATGCTGAAAGGTTTATTCCAAAATGACCAAAAAAAATTTCATTTCAGTTCTGATCTCACTGCTGTTCTGGATGTCAGGTCAAGGTTTGTAATGTTTCACTTAAATATTTGAAATTGTTTCTGGATCAATTCTTCCAGAACAAATTAACTGCTGGAATAACAGGTGTGATCTTTATCTCTTCCATCCCAGTCCTCCCAGTTCGTCTGACTGTGAGTCCCAGCAGATCTCAGTTCTTTGAATATGAATCAGTGACTCTGACCTGTGAGGATGAAAACAGCTCTGATGGATGGACTGTGAGGAGAAACACAACTGGAGAAACCAGGAAACAGTGTGGAAAAGATGGATGG